AGAGCTGTGCTCTCCCTGGATAGATCCCCATCTCCCTGAGGAGACCTCTGGAAGCTGAGGGGGGAATGCATGGAGTAGAAATGACTTTATTTAATAACCTTCAGATTAAATGACAAGCACAGCGTGTGGAAGGAGGAAGAAAAGGGTAGGGTCACGACACTAAAGCAAAGAGGATCAGAGCAAACAAGCCTGGGATTCTGTGGGAGAAACAAAGCCAAGGAAATAGGGGATATTTTGATGGGAATTTTTCCCAAATAAAATAAAATGAATGCAAAGCCCTCATCTGGCGACTTCCAAATCGAAATTCAATCGGAAAATAAAATAACCCCCGATGTTTTTAAGATGCCCCGAGGTATCACAGAGCTGTCACCAGATCAATCCAGCTGGAGAGCGCTCCCAGGGAGCTGAAGTGGGAGCAGGGATGCAGCATTCCCAACTAGGAGCAAGGGGAGAGAAAGGCTGGGTGAGAGCACTTTAACTGGGAAGATTCACAGCCTGGGAAGGCTTAAATTATCCCCCACCATAAAGCAGAGTGGGGGCAACACCTGATGGGATTTATGTTCCCCAGATGGAGCTCTGGGAAGGGCTGGGATCCTCCTTTCCTGGGAAGGAAAAAAACCATTTCAAATTCATTCACTCCTCCATTGTCAGTGTTAAACGATCATTTTTTTCCCCCGTGAAAATGAAATAGTTCCAGCACAGCCCCTCGCTGGCATTTCAGGATTAAAAGAGGCAAATGAAATGCTCTCTTGAATCCAAATATCAGAATGATGGACTTGGGAAATGCTGGAGTGAACTTTACAGGCTGGTTTTCAGTCTCAAAAAAAAAAAATACCTGTGTAAGTAGAGAGGGCTGTGCAAATAACACTGAAAGACCTGATTTTACATTTTCTTGGAGTATTTGCCTAAGAAAATTCATGCAGCTCCGCTTGGGAAGACACAAAGACCGTGGTTCAAAGCTGAGTGAATGCTCTGCCTCCTCACAAAGTGACTTTCTACATCTGCAAGGCAATAAAATGGGAAATAAATGTCATGTACAGGGAAAAATAAACACCACAAACATCAAAATTCAGCCCCTTTTTTTTTTTTTTTTTTTTCCCTTGCAGAGGAAACATTTATGGCAGGTTTTTTTATGGATTGGCTTCAAAATGGAGAGAGGAAACATCAGGTCCCAGCCTGGTGCTTTCTCCCTACTCACATTGAGCTTTTCATCCCCACAACCTGCCCCCCCCCCCCGAAATTCCTGCAGAGACACTTTGCATATATGCAAAGAGCATTCCATATTTTCCCTGCTGGAGACACCAGCTGCCTTTGCCTTTACTGCACTGGGCCATAAACGCTGGCAAGCAGCAGAAGCTGCAATAAAACCAACATTAAATGTGCAGCAACACCTCAGAACAAAGAATTGGGAGTCTGAAGAAACGTGGATTAATTGATTTGAAACAGGGGGCAAAAGGATTTTAACAAACCAAGACGGGCTGGTTTTCCCATGTTGCTCCAGGATGGAGTAACACCTTTCAGAGTAACGTTGTTGGAGGGAAAGAGCCTGGCCAAAAAATATTCCAAAGGTTGGATTTGCACGGAGCTGTGGCTTTAATGTCGCTCTTAAAGTTAGGAAAAGACTAACGACATCCAAGGGCACCATTCCCAGCTCAGGGCTTCAGCTGAACCACTAAAACCGGAGCAAGAGGAGCAATTTAATCTCCTGCTAAAATTATAATTATTTGCCATTGGCTGCCTTCAGCGGGAAGCTTTTTAAACCTTGTTTGCTGCTGTCTGAGGTGCCGGGCTGGGCTCTTTCAGATGCGTGGCCGTATCGATCCACCCATCCCGACCCGCATCCTGAAGCCCTGACAGACAAAAGGGCTCATTTCACGCCCAGCTGGGTTCCCTTTGGAGAGGACATTCCTAAACCGGCTCCCCGGGGGCGGCCGCGGCACCACTCGAACGGTATTTCTGGGAAAATAAAATCACTCCCAATATATTTAGCGATTAAAGCTGGGAAATAGTTATAATCTATCCCGGGCTTTTATATTAAATGGGGAGGGATTAGGCAGCGTTGGAAACCCTCGTGGAAAATCCAACAGCAGTATTTTGGAGGAGGATAAATCCCACCTTCAGCCAGCCAGGGCCAAGTGGAGGTTGGATGGGAAAAATAGGATCAAGGTTCTTTGTCCCTGTGAGCCACGCTGGGCAAAGCACTTTGGAAATAATCAATTAACAGAAGCGATTTAATTTGCTTAATTGAAGAAAAGCCAGAGCTCCCCAGCCCACACCCAGGACAGCTTGGCTGGCAAGGTTTGGGTGGAGTGAGCCCATCTCCAGCCACCACATTCCCAGTGTGTTGGTGCCTCCTTTCTTCAGCCAGGCTCAGCACCTCTGGGAATTTTAACAAATCCAGAGGCCCCAGGGAAGTTCTCCTGTGCAGGAGCATCATTTCTGCTCCAGCACCTTCTGTCTCACCCACAGGTAAAGATTTCAGCTCCATGTGAAATTATTTCAGTCCACATTGTGTCACTCTTCCTTTTATATATGTATTTATTTTTGCCCAGAGAACCTGCCCCATCCCTGGAAGTGTCCAAGGCCAGGTTGGACAGGGCTTGGAGCAACCTGGTCCAGTGGAAGGTGTCCTTGCCCATGGAGGAGGGTTGGAACCAGATGACCTTTACAGGTCCCTTCCAACCCAAACCATTCCATGATTCTGTGATTCTGGGGCTGAAAACCCTCCTGCTCTCAGAAGCTCCTGTTTTTCCTGGTACCTGAGGCTGCAGGTCCCTCCTGGCAGCCCTGCCAAGCCCGGCTCCAGCCCCATCACCTCTGGGGAGGTGACTTGGAGACACAGGGACTGGAGATGAGCCAACACCAGCTTTGCAATAAAAACGTGTTTGCCTTAAAACCGTTCCCTGGCCGGTGCAAGATAACAGCGCTCTCCAAACACTTTATTTTCATATTTTTTTTTTTTGCTTCAGACACAGAGCCCTCATGTTACTCCAGCAAAGCTCTGAGTGCCCAGGGTGGACCTTTCCTGTGCCCACCCTTTGCAGCAGCCCAGGTGGTCCCCGAGCACCCCACGGCCCAAGGTCAAGCGAAAGGAGCGACCGACCCTTCCCGCAAAACGTCAACGGAGAAATCAAAGCAGGAACAACGTTATCAGCGCTGGCCCAAACCAGAGATTATCACGTTTCTGCCGCAATAACACGGAGATAAAGACAAAAATTCAAAGCCAGCTGATAGTTTATGTTGCTGCAGGAGAGAGCTGGGGCTGAATAAATTCATCTGTGGCGACGACACGTGAAGCGACGAGGCGCGACCTCCCCGGCTCCCGGTGCCTCCGACAACACAAGGACACTGATGGATTGGAGGCAGACGTGGCTTTGACGTGTGAGCAAACCCGACGTCTCCTGATTACAATATCCCGTGAAGCCATAATTAAGGCCTTTATGGCAACAAAGAAAATTGGATTACATTATTCCGGGGCTAAACAGCCGGAAGATTGCGGGAAAGCCAAGAACGGGGACGGCTCTGACAGGGAACAAAGACGTGGGCAATTGCAGGATGTTTTCATGGGGTCTTGTGTTTTTTGAAATTATATAGGACAAACCCAAGAGTGGCAGCAGAGGAAATCACACTTTCATTTTCTCTTGGTCTCTTCATACTCCATTATATCTGAGTACTGTGTGTCATGTAAATGAGAGGAACTTAAACACAACCCCCACGTTTCCTTCGATCCCTTCACAGCAAGGATCAAGTTTTCCATTCCATCTTTATTTAAATGAGTGCCACAACGCAGGTGAGCAATGCTGAAAACCCCCAAAGCACCCGAACTCACCCTCCTTTGAAACACCAAACCGGTTCTATAAGAACAAGAATGCCCTGAATTAAAATTGCAAGTGAAAAGCAGGCATGGGGCAGCTCTACTTTGCATTAGTTTCAAAACCTTTCCATTATGTTATATAATCATAGAATTCCTGAATGATTTGGGTTGGAAGGGACCTTAAAACTCATCTCCTTCCTTACCATGGGCAGGGGTACCTTTCACTGGCCCAGGTTGCTCCAGACCCCATCCAACCTGACCTTGGACACTTCCAGGGATCCAGGGGCAGCCACAGCTTCTCTGGGTGACTTATTCCAGGGCCTCCCCACCCTCACAGGCAGGAAATTCTTCATGAATTAATTAAATTATTATTCTTCCTAAATTAATTGTTATTAATAATAAACAGAGTCTGTGTGACAAGGAGGAGCCTTTGAGAACCTGCCCACACCTCTCCTTCACTGCCTTCCTCCAGCAAGCACAGCAACATCTGCTCCCTCCTCTCCATCCATTCAAAGAGGTGGCTCGTGGTCAGCAGTTCCCATTTTTGATTTGCAGGGGGTCCAAAAGAGCAGTGATTTGGCTCTTGCCAAAATGTCCTTGTCTGTGTATGTCCCTGCTCTGCCTGCAAAACCAAAACTCAGAGTAGAGCTCAGCCAAAACCGCTGTTTTCCCTTGGTTCTTTGTCAAAGCCTTGTCAAACTTCACCAACATTTTGTCAAAGATTCCTCCCAACTCTTGTCAAAACTTTGGCTGATTTTAGCACGAGACATTAAATCACAAAATGATCTCAAAGTAGGCAAACTGTGTCAAACCACCCGGGACACCCTTTCTACAACAAACCGACCGAGTCAGAGTTATGTTTTACTTAATATGGTGCCACCACAGTTCTAGAAAACCCACAATTTATTTTTTGCCACTTTTGTGACCCCCCCACCCTCTGCATCCAGCTGTTCCCAGAAGGAACATGGATATAGGAGTCATTGCAAGGAGTCCTCACCACCATTCGGCTACAAATCTCAGATACCTCCAGTAAACAAAACTCTGTATTCTCAAACCAGAGGATAAAACTCATCTCAGTCTTCAGCTCTAGGACAGATTTATTGTGCACTTCATAAAACATGAATATCATTTGTTATAATAAAAGGAAGCCACCGGGGAGCTGGTTTCATCTTGGATCTCAATTCTTTGTTTGCGGGTCGTGCTTTGCTTGTTTCCCAGCTGGGGGTACATCAGTCATAACCCATCAGATCACAGACAAAGGTGTTTGTGCTCTGTAATATTGTGGTTTTTTCTGGTGTTCTCCATCCTCTCGTGCTCCCTGGGAAAAAAAATATGGATGTGTCAGAGCCTTTCCAGGGCGATATTGATTTGTGACAGATCGCAAGCGTTTCGTCTTCTTCAATTCCCTTCGCTGAGCAAAAAGGAGCTGTGAAAAATATCACCCCGACTTTGGGTTTGTTTTTTCTTTTTTTTCTGCACAGAATTAGCAAATATCCAGGTCAGAAGTAATATCAGGAACACCTTATGAAAAATACATGAATTTTATCAGATTATTTCAGCTCATGGCCCCATAACCACGTAGATAGCGAGGCAGACTTTGTGCTGCTGGGTTCCTATTTTGTTTGCTTCCCTCAGTTCAGACCTGGGCAAAGAGAAAGGTTGTGTCTGAGTGGGGAAGGGGGAGAAAATGTGCAAAACCTCTCCAAGACCTCCAGTGCTGTCTCTGGTGCTTCCCCAGGACTCACCAGAGCTGCATCCCCAAAGTCTCAGCAAAAAAAATTCCAGTCTGTTCTTCCCACTTGTTTCTTCCTCTCTGTGGAGCATAAATTCAGAGATTAATTTAAAATTAGCAGGAGAACAGTGTTTTGGGAGGAATGAAATGATTTACGAGCTCAGGCTGCATTTGGCAGGTTCAGAAATGGCTGAAGGTTCCCCCCTGTTGCCTCATTTCAAAATGGCAAACTTGATCCACTCCCAAAAGAAAAGAGGTTAAACAGCAAGATTAACTCACCCCAAATAGCCCTCCAGATTCCAACAGGGATATAATGAGATGGTTTAGGCAGACACTAAAGGAAAAACATTAATATTTTATTTCATTTGAATCTCCTTTCTCTCAGTTTGGCCATTAATTACTTTAAAATCCATTATCCACACAGCTTTACTTTATTTTTAGTATGAGCAAACTTGAGTTACCTGGAAATCTCATTTCTTTAAACATTCAGAAGTT